GCTGGGGGTGGTTGGACCCGAGGGGCCGCCGCCACCGCAAGTTTTCTGGGGCTCCTGACAAGCGGGGAGCAGGTTAGGCACCGGCATGCAGAGTAGTAAGTTGGGAGAACTCGGGAGGGTCGGGAGGGTCTCAGAGAGGGGCCTTCGTGTGGTCCCCCAAAGTGGGAAAACAGCCCAGGACTGGCGCTGGCTTTGAAGAGTTTGCAAAGCCAGGCTTCAAACTTTTTTTTCCCTTAAAGGCCCAGCTGGGCTGGAGGTGGAGGGTGTCGCATCCCTAGGCGCCCCCGCCCCTGCGCGGCTCAGGGCAGCCGGGCCGAGGGGGTCTGTGCCCTGTCCGGGCCATGTGGCAGGCCTCGCCGCCGGGCGCTTCCGTAGGGGCCGAGGAAGGGGCAGACTTCCTCTGCGGTGCGGATGATGCGCCCTGGGTCGCGGGTCAGCGGACACTGGCCGGTGATGAAATGCCTGACAGCGGTGGGACATCCAGGCAGCCGGGCGCTTCGCCTTCTGTTCAGTTCCTGTTTGGGTTCTAGAGAGAGGCATCTTTGAAAGGCCAAGGCAAACACCGCTGTCCCTTCAAATAACTCCAGGATTATGGGACCCCATGAATAATTTGAGGGTGAGGCGGCGGTGGGAGCCGTTTGAAGTGCAAAGCTGTTTTTGTGGCTGGGAAAGCTTTTTTTTTTTTTTTGTTAGTACCTGTGTGAGCTGGTGGTGTTTCCCCCTTTTCCCCAGGGAAGTCAGTGACTGTTTTATGGCCCTAAGACTCTAAAGCAATTTAAGTTAGAGGGCTAGAGGGACTGGTGGGTTTCAGAGGGAAATCCTGGACGTAATATTAGATGTTAGGTCTCGCTTTACTTCCTCATATCTTTTTAGGCCTCAGAATTGAGACTTTGAAAGTTTTTTGAGTGAGAGCGATGGAGCTTAATGATATATCAAAATTATAGGAGCGTGTTCATCCTTATCCTATTTTGGAAAATCACGGCTAGAGTTTTAAGTGAGGTAAGTGAAGTGAGATGCTTAGCGGAGACGTTCAAATCGCAGACCAGTTAGGCCGATTCATTGAACTTTTGGAGATTCATTGAACTTTTCCTAAACGCACCAGGTGAACGGGAAAGGGGCTGAGAGCGACAAAGTACAAAAGGAAAATACAGATAGGGCCCGAGACAGAATTACCCAAAAATGCTTACTTTAGGCCTGGTCGTTGGCTGAAAATGTGATTGTCCAAAGGAAAAATAAACTAGGAAGCTTCCAACCACTTTTTCGAGTTTTCCAGCTCTTAGGTTAAAACCTATGGATCTTGGCTGGCATCATGTTACTTTTCCTGCTGGTTTTAGGAAAAGTTGATCATTTAGAAAAGCCTGCCAGAGTTAAAAATGCAAGGGGCAGCGAAGAAAAAGTCATGCGGGCGGCCAGTTCTTGACGTGGACAAAATGAGAATGAAAGTTCCTGAGCTCACTGTTGTCAAGTTTCTGACATGCTCCTCATTTGCTTAGACCGCTTTCTCAGATATTCCACCGGTTAATGTATAAAAGCTAACTAGCTCTAAAACGGTGTGGGCTTTTTTTCTTTCCCTTAGTATGCCAGGGTTGTGAATAAATACAGGGTTTGTATGGGAAGATGAAGCGTTTCCTGTAAGTTGTGATGCTGACAGGACAGTCTGGAAATGATACCAATATTTGGAGGATTTTTTTTTTACCTTCAAGTGAAAGTTTATTAATGACGTGCTTAATCTTAACAAGTCAAACATATGGGCCTTAGAGCTTCTCTGTCCTTAGATTTCATAACTTCCTTTTAAAGCTATACCCTTGAATGGAAACATCTCTAGATCCAGTTGTATACCGGGCCACCAGCGTGCTAAAGTTTGATGACGATTTCTGGATATTAGTAATGTGAAAATAAAACTCCTGAAGGGGAAAGAGAGTTTTAGTGCCAACACTCAGACTTGATTTCTCTAAACGTGAGGCATTCCTGGTCTTTATTAATACTCTCTTGGCAAAGTATTACTTACCATCGGCAAGCTGATGTTTATGGCTTCCTGATCTATCTGTTATATGTTAGGATATGTGTGTGCAGAATGCTTTTCCACACGTAGTAACGAAGTCGGACGCTCTCCCAGTAAACGGTGAAACATAGCAAGTTCCTCACAAAAAAGTTAGTCACTCTTTTGAATTTCAGACGCTGCAAGGGTCTTTGCTGCTTTTTAGATTTGGTCCTTTGTCTCTTAAAGGTAACATTAAAAGAAGAAGAGTGTCATCGTGGCTGGGAAGTCTGGCTTGATTTTAGAGCTCAGTGTTTTGAAGAGTAAGATTTTGAAGGGTTTTATAACATCTTCTTCATACTTGCTTAAAAATAGGTTAGAATCCATATGAGAGTGCTAGTCAGAAGTGAGTTACACATGGCCCTACCGTATTTTCAGTATTATTTTTACTTTTAAGTCACGTACCACTCCTGAGTTTACTCTCATTTCCACAGGGTAGGTCTCACTACACACAAGGAAATCTTCATTCATAAGGAAAACCTTCAAAGCAGGGAAGTGAATGCATCTGTGGAAAAGCTGCCTTTTAAGATTCTAGTATTTCAGTGATGTTTCTATTATTGTTATTATTTTTGGGGTGTGTGTGTGTGTGTGTGTGTGTGTGTATGTGTGTGTGTGTGTATCTTGTGGAGTGAGCCAGGGAGAAGAAATGCAGAAGAAGTATAATTTGCAATTTATGATCTGTACATTTGTGTTAAATACCACAGGGTGGTAAGTTTTAATAAACTCTTGTCTTGCCTTTTTTGAAGTAAATAAACATTACTGAAAGTTTTCAGAGGGCTTGCAGCAGATTGTTTTTGAGCTGAAACTTTATTTTGAATTTGAAATTAACACAGATATAGATAACCACCCTTTGAATGTTTCTTATAATACATATGTGTAAGACTTTTTCCCTTTCAGTATCCCTTTGATAACAATAATATAACAGCACTATGCTATTGCTATTGTGTGTACCAGACTTTAAGAAAGTTAGAGGCAGGTGTTTATAATTGATTTAAAGGGAAAATGATTATTTTTGTAATAAGTGATGCACTGAAAATGACTGGTGCACATTAAAACATATTCTCATTAAGATAGTCCCCGTCTGTAAAATACAGCTATTCATTCAACAGGCTGACAGCTTTCCACTTGGTATTTGCCTTTGCTTAATTTAGTTTCCTTAGGACAGTCAGTGTGGTAGTTTGCATCTGTTTTTGGCAGGCACAGAAAACTATAAACTCAGACAGTCCTGTCCCAAATATTGCAGCTCACAAGTTACAATCAATTTGATAAAAACAGGCAAGTTTTATGGACTTGCTTTTCTGTTGTTCATCCTTGGTCAAGCTTCCAGGTAACAGAGGTTTCTTTCTCTTCCCCTCTTTTGCTGGTTTTCAGTACTAACAGCCTTGATAACTAATTCTGAGTCTTTGTTTACTCATTTAGCTTCCTTATTTATTGCTGATTGAAATTTGGGGAAATTAATGACGGCATGTCTAGACTTGGTTTTACTTTGTCTATCTACGTGATAACTGTGTTCATCTTTTGATCCCACCGTAGACAAAGAAGTGAATTCTTTGTTACTAGTCTAGTTATGATTTATGGAACTGGAAGGTCCCCCTTAGATGAAATATGAAGAAACTCTTACAGCCTTTATCAAGTAGAAATTTAGTCTGATTCTCTCATCACATATAGAGAATACTAACGCACTTTGCAATTTTTACGTTGAAAAAATCGAGGAGACTTTTTTTATATTTAGCAAAATTATTTATCTCCTAGAAACTGTAACCAATAGGTTAAAGGAAATATTTTAAAATACCAAGTGGTGTTTTATACACCGTTCAGTAGCAAAGAGTTTTGCAGAGGGAATAGCCCTTTTAAAAATTTATCCTCGAATGTTAGTAGGTTTTAGGCCGTTTATTTGTATAGGATATTCTATCACTTACATATGACCTTTATAAATAATGCCTTTAATATTGCTATTATGGTCACCTTTAGAGTTGTCCCATCACTCAGTGGTTCTCAGGTTCCTGAAAACCGAATTCGTTGGCCTTTAATTTGGTTCTCTGATGGGTATAATAATGTAGAACTTGGTTTAGGTTAGAAAGAGAGCATTGGGTTTAAGGAAACCCCTTTGCTGAATTTGCAAAAGAATCTGTGGATGAAAATGATTTGAATTGTTAAGAGTTAGTTAGATGAATAAGCCTAGATGGTCACTGCAGCTGCAGTAGCTGTTATAGGAGCAATGTCTACTTTTTATCGTTAAACTTTTTTTTGTTTCCTAAGAGCACAAATCCAGGTAGCAAAAATGAAGATAAAATTATCTATGTCCTTCACATTTGAAGCATCAGTGGAAATCGTTTTCTGACTCAAAGCTATGATTGAAATACAAGTAGCATTGAAATACCCCAAAAAAAGACATGAAAGATAACGCTTTCCGTTGCTAAGTACATTTCATTAAAAATGAGAAAGAAAAACTTTTAATTTTTAAAATGTTTCTAGCTCTTTAAAAACCTGCAGTAAATACTTTACAAGTGGCTAGACACCTTCCCTGGTGGTTTAGTTTATACAAGCAGGAAACTTTCTCTCCTACTCTTTCTCTCTCTCTTTCTTGTTTTCTTTAAACCAACTGACGTAATGCCAAACTTTGCTTTAAAAGAACAGACAGAAGTAATTGGTAGCTTTTAACTTTTAATAATGTTCTGGATTGGTTTTAGTGGCCAAAATGCCATTTAAAAAAAAAAAAAAGTTCAAGTAAGAACGGGCTTGTGGCCTGAGGAAGAAAGGCTCTGTTGATGCAGTTATTTTTATTCTGTTTTTCAATCTGTTATTAAAAATCTTTCCTGCTGAGCCCTGTTGGATTTCTCCAATTGCTCTCTGTGATGGATGGTGCATTTCAGGTTACCGTAACTTAAACAGTTTTTGGGTTTGGGGGAGAGTGGGTATTTGTATTGCGTTATTTCTTATGGGGGGGGGGTAAAACATTTGTTTTTGTTTCATTTGTGATGAATTAATTAAGATTATCAATGGCGACAGGTCAATGAATATGTTTATGTAAAAAATGCTACACCTGTTAGCAAGAGTTTGAAATGTGGAAGTTTCATTCTGACATTAATCATTTTTATGTGCAGTGGAAGGAAAATAGATGAAACTTTACAAAAATATATTTTTAGATTGAAAGCGTTAATTTTAAGGGTCAGTTTGTGTGGGCGGCTCTTTTTTTTTCTCACAATTTTAGGGGATAATTTTTAACCGTGTTATCACACAGTGTTTTTAGTTTCTTTCTTTTTTTTTTTCTTCTTATAAAATAGTCATTTTCTCTCTTCCTGGTTTATACAGGCAAATAGAACTTTCTCCAGTTTAGAGATATATTGGTGATGTTGGTTGACATCAGGGCAACTTCAGAAGCTAGCAAGTAGGAGAATCTTTTCAGAGGGCAAAAAGATTTGTACCAGTTTTTCCTTCCTTGGAGAGACACTGCACCCAGAAATGAGGCCCTCTGCCCTATTTGGGGGGCCAGAAGTACCAAAATTTCTGATAGGGATTGTTCGTAAGGTTCAAATCGTAATGGTTACTTGTCTGAGTTTAAGTCTTACAGTTACTTGTCTTGGATTTTGCTTTTAACCCTAAATTTGTGCTGAGGTTCTATTTTCCCCCTTTTACACAGAGTGTGTTTCAGAAATAATGCATACTGAAAATTAGCTATCTCGCAGATACCTTAAAATGTCTTTTAAGGCATTTGTAATTACCATTAAAAGCACCCCGTATATTCAGGGAAGTTAAAAGAGTTCCCTGCACGAAAATTTGACGGTTTTGATTTACCTTAACATTTTTCTCAGTTTTTCCTATAACTATAGACTTCAGTTCAGATCAGAAACATTCTTTCTCTGCTAACCACTCCTTACCATAAGGATGTGTCAGGAAAAACCGTAGGAACTTAAACTATAACTTGTTCATATCAGCAGAGCAGAAGTATCTTAACATGAATCTTGATTTGTTTTATTTTTTACAAAGTTTTCAAATATATCTCTGTCATTACAGTTTTGTTGATTGAATGTTGGTTTATTACTGCAAAACTGAGGTAACAGTAATAAAGTTTTGCAAGAAGGCAAAAAAAGGCAAAGGGAGGTATTTAGTGCTGCAGTCCTTTAATATCAGTAGTTTTGTTTACTGTTCAGTGGTGGGGAGGGGTTGGAGAGGCTTTGTGGAAGATGATACCAAAAAAAAAAAAAAAAATACATCAATTGCGCATATGATCCCCTCCCCTTAAGCTTTACTTAAACAATATGTTTCGCTTTTGCCTCAAACCATTCCGCACCACTTCTCCAAGAATCCACCACTATCTTCGTTCCTGAGCGATTAAGGATGACACTTTCTGTTGTATAATGTGAGCTGCAGTATTGTTTGAACAAAGGTAACATATTTTAATTTGTGTAATACTTTGGTGATTAGCAGTAGTATGTCTGTAATGTGAGAGGAAATCTAGCACTATGAATACTTGAAAATGCTTGAAGTATCAGGGTAAGTTTCAATTACTGCTGATACATGCGCATGCTCTTGCAGGTATGTTTTGTATATGTAGTATATGTGCGTGGGTAATACTAAGATACACCTTGATGGTGGAATCCACTTTGCTAAACAATTAACTCTGCACTTTAAACCATCAATCTTTTAAGGCATGACCTACTTTATAAAGTCTCGAAGTTTGAAATGAGTGGAGTTTAAACATAATAAAGCCATCATGATCACAGTACTTATACCTACACTGAATTTACTAAGGAATTTAAGAAAGAAATAAAAAAAAAACCTTATACAAAAATGCCATCTTTCGGTGTATTTTAAGAAATAGTTCTGCAGATAATTTTTTTTTTAAGTCCCAAATTTCTGTTGAGAGGAGCAGTTAAGTGACAGTGCTGTTCCTGAATATATCTTTTTATGGAATAGCACTTTATAGTTTACAATACAGTTCTGTCATCTTAAAACGTTATGTAGAAATAATATGGAACATGTAAAGACTTCGTACTGTGATCCAATGCGTTTTTCCCTAGGGTGATGGATTCCGTGCGTCACCCAAATGTGATGCTATTTGCCAGGCTTGTAATACTGGTTTTGAGGGTTGCTGTATGTCCTATTTCATCAAGCAACACAATACAACAACTTCGGTATCTAGGTAATGGACACAGTCAAAATAAGTTCTGTAAAATGTTCTAAATACTTTTAAATAAGTCAGAAGTTGACTTATATATTCACTTTATATAATGCAAATAAATGACTCAGACCATCAACTATTAATTAAGGCTTCTGTAATAGTATTAGAGGGAAATATTCAAGGGTCCATACTTTATTTTCTGATTTTTTTCCCCTTTATTTGATAGAAGCATGATTCTCTTATTTGCATTTATAATTGCTTTATCTGTTAATTATTTGTATTCATGATAGTGAGTAGTGTAGAATTATAAAGAATAATAAACATTTGTATTACATGTTTGTGCCCTGAGCTTTAAAAAAAGCATTAATATCTTATTATTAAATTGAGTATTATCAGTATAGGATGATAGATACACCACAAATGCTATTTAGACATTGAGTATATTTTTGCTGTAGAAAAAAAGAAATGAAAAAAGATTTTTATTTCAGAGTTTTTTTCACTCGAATTTGGACAGAATTTATGAAAATTACAAACCAGCAAGCACTTTTACTATAACGTGTGTTTCTTGAGTCGATTCTACAGTATGGCTTTCAGTGAATCTTGTGAATCACTAGTTCTGTTTCTCTGTATAGAAGCATGTATTATATCTGAGATCAGATACATCTATAAATAGTGTAAATATAGACGGCAGAAGTTAGTTTGGGGAATCTAATTTCTCTATTACATGATACACTTCATGTGCAAAGGCACCAAGCATTACTAATCTGCTTCAGCTTTTTTTTTCTGTAAGCTATGCACAAGGGCAGGGTATGATTTTGTGAGTTCACACTCACTTTGTGCGAGCATACTTGCACACGCACATGCACATGGCTGTATTCTCACTCGCATAGAATGTTTTTGCATTACAGGCACCGAATGGAATTTTAACATATTACATATTTTTTGAAATGACTTTAGTCTTTGTAATATCCACTTTAATTACCTAATGCATCCCAACACCTATTTGAGGGTTTATTTAATTAAAATTTTGGTTTTGAACTGGGGGTAAGATTGGCAAGACAAATTAAAACGAACTTCTACATGTGACTTCCTTGTGATGTCAGTATTCACATATCCTTAGCTATGAAAGATGTAGAAATAAACATGTCAGCCTGTTTTATCTCTCAATATTATAATACTAAGAATTTCCGAACATACAAACGTTCCTAAAAGAGATTTTGGCATTTGTTTCTGCTTTGCTTTGACACCATGAAATATTTTTGAGAAGAGAATCTAGGTCGTTTTAATTTTTTAAAATACCATTCAACTGACGGAAATTAAGACTGGTGATATTTATATATACACACATATATATATATAACTTCTAATCAGGGCTCATGTTATTAAATGTTCTCTATATATTTAAGTCCGATTATTGAACGATTAATAGTTCTTTATCAGTTGTTTATAGATATACCCTTGAGACTGTTTAAAATTGTGTATTTTTCTATATTTAGCTGCTACATTTTGTGTTAATTAAATTATAAATTGAAAAACACAAATGATTATGTCTCATACTGTTTTTAACTTACTATTGGAAGTACAGTGTATTTTTTAAAAAAGATTATTGCAAATTTTACTGCTCAGTTTTGCAAACTTAGGTACGTTTTAGAAGCTAACTTTAGGTATAAGTGGCCAGTGTAAGCAATTACACATTTAAGTAATTATGGGTTAATATGAAACCTCATTTTCTGTAATTTATAAGCAGATAGTAAGGAGATGTTTCTCTTTTGCGTTTAGAACGAATTTGCTTTACATTCATTGGATGCAAGATGTAGTAAATTCAGAAACTCGATGTCATCTAAACCTCAATTATAATAAACTGTTTATTTTACTCTCTGTCCCATCGTGTTTATTCTACTTTGAAATGTCCCGTTCTTAAAGACAATTTATGTTGTTGAAAGAGTGCCCTCATTATTTACATTTTACTTTTTCTTTGTACTTTGATAAGCTTTAAGTAAGAAAGCTGTCATTCAAGATTTCAAGTCAGTAGTAAAAATCATAAAGTACACATTTTATGTGTAAATGTTTGTGCATGATCTTGCATGTTCACTTTGTCAGGCATTTAACTCTTTACCGTTCCACATATTTGTGTACACCCCGACACACCTGTCCTGTACTTGTTACTCCTAGCATAGTTCAGTATATCATCATTAACGTTTACTTAGGTGGGTAAATGCTCGTCTCACTCCCTGAATAATTCCACTGGCAGTGATAAAAATTAAGAAGTGAGACCAACGATGATTAGAAATGGAAAGCAGAGTGGTAGATACTGGTGTAAGCAGATGTCCCTTTTTGTTTTTCTCATTTTTGGTTCCTATTTAGAACGATTTGTAAGTATGTATATCTGAACAGAAGGGGGACTTGGATACTGCACAAGACCATTATAACATAGGGAACTGTTGCTGTGTATGGCTTTACTTATTTATATGTTTTTGACATGGAAAACTCTGACCTCGTTGCCTGTGGTACTTGGGAAAGTTAGATCAAGCCCACTGGGGTCCCACTCATCAGTTCCGGCTTTCCTGACATAAAGCATCCTCTGGCTTCTGCTGTGCTACTGTGCTGCTTCCCTTCAGGAGTGGAGGCCCAGTAAGTTAATTTGGCATTTGAAAGCAGAACTAGAAATTTTTCCTTTTTGAAAATCCTCTGGATGGTTTTCAGAGGAGTAAGCAGAGATCACGGGCAGCGTGATGTTGTTCATCTCAGGTTGCTAAAGAAAATTATGCTGAGAGCAAGCATGTTTCCTCTGAATTTTTCTGCTATGGTTTATTACCATTTTTTTGTTGTTGTTGTTTGTTTGTTTCCTCTTTGGGATCGAATATTTCAGGTTTTGGAGGAATAAAGATTTCTTCTTTCAGTGAAAAAATGAGCCAATTCTAGGGTTTTTGCTTCCATTCTTTATAATATTTATATTTTGGGGAGGGAGCTGCATAAAAAAGAGAAGCTTATATACTGTAAACTAATAATTTGATTTTCTTGTTTGCTCTTGAGCAGGCTTTTGCCATTCCATTTCTATGAGGAAATACATCCAATGAAATTAAATAAAGTTTTGGTGTAATTTTTCAACAATTGTAAGCACCAACTGTGACATATTTCTGGCAAAAAAAAATAAGGCAATTTTAGTTACTCAGTGCTTCCACCCAACTCTGTATTCCAAGTTTATAAATATGAATTTGATCGCTTGATCATGGATGATGCTTGAAATGAATGTATCTTGATTCAGGGAAGAGAGTACTTAAATTATGCTCACCATCAATATGCTTTAGATTTGCAAGAAATAGAATGCCAAGCATCACGCTTTCAGTCCTTTGAGATCTTTAGTAAAGAGTTTTACTTGTTTATGGTAGCTTATATTCAATAACATCATGCATAGACTGTTTAACATATTTGTGCCTTGAGCTGTAGTGAAGTTCAATAAATGACTGTATTTCCATCAGGGTTTGGGGAGTAATGAAGTGTTAGTAGCCATCTACTAAAAATGGTTCTGAGATTTGGAATTTGTAACTGATTTTTAGGAACCATGGCATAAATATAATAATAGGTAGAAATATTCAGTGATCACCTTTTATAAAGTTAGTTCTGTCTTTCATGTCTAGGAAAATAGAGCAGTGAATATTTGCTTTCTGTATGTTTTGTCTCCAAGCAGAGGAAACTGACAGTTTTATGTTTTAAGTGCTGAAAGTTGTTCTTGGCTATGCAGCCCCTGAGTTAATCACTGAGATGTTAACTTGATTTTTTTTGTCTTCAAAAAGTTTTTAAATTTTAAAACGAAATATGCTTCCATTATTTTCAAATTGACATCCTGCATTCTGGATTGGTTTTTAGAGAAATATTTTCCAAATTCTCTTGGATTGCTTGTAAGTTTGAAATATTGAGTTTTGTTTTTTTAACCAGAAAGGAGAGGAAATACTTTATCTTTTAGAGTTTTCTACTTATAGAACCCTTTTTATCTCCCATAAAGTGCAAATTAAATTTGCATTCATTTTTTATTCTTGTATGTGTATGTTATCTTTTCAGAAACTTATTTTGAGGGCATCAGAAATAGAGCTTCCCTGCCACACCTTCCTGTGATAAGATATTTTGGTCATTTCTAAGGAGTCGCTATGCAGAAATCCTTTCTTATGTCATTTGCATGCATATATTTTTACTTCAAACAGGAGTGGTATCCGAAAATCATATATTTATTCTTTGAGGTTAGTTGCCAAAATTATGAACCGTGTAAAATAACATGATATTTAGTTGTTTTTCAGATGTATCTTTAGGCAATTTGTATCAAAAATTTTGGTTGAAGGAGAAAGAAAAAAAAATATTTAAACAACTTTGAAATAGCGTTAAGGTAGTCCTACGGAATTTTCCAAAATTTGTAAGAAAATGTGAAATATTTTCAAATGCATAGATTTAAAATTCAACTGTGTATACAATGAAGACTTTAACCTGATGTATTTTACTGTAAAAATGTTTTAGTATAAAGAGAAATGTCTCTGGTGTTGCTTGTATTTTGTTTACTTATTTATTTTTGCAGACTGCTTTGCTTAAAATGATTGGCATCCTTAAATTATAGTTTTGTGTAAACCAAATAAGGCTGCTACCCTAAAGAAGCAGTGGCTTTGCACATTCATCTTAAAGACTATTTTGAAATACTTTCATTTGGAGCAAGTGCATCAAGCCCTAAGAAATAGATACCAAATAGCAAACTAGTAACCAGAACACATCACCCAACTATTCCCTGAATGTGGAATTGACTCTCAGAAAGTAACATTATTTCCATTCCGGTCCAGTGTGTTAACAGTATTTTGGTGTCTCCACTGGTAGAAATGTGGACGTTTCAACTAACCACCTTCTTGTTTTGGTTCCCGTGATGTCAGGCGAACGTTTTTCCAAAACTTTTGGTCTGGTTTAATCAAAACCTGTTGTGAAATTAGGCTAATATGATGATTTCAGATCATGTTTAATGTGTTATTTTGAAAAAAATACTTAAA